CTGACTCCATGCACAGCGCCATAGAAACTTCGAAGAAAAATTGTGACATCTACTGTATGTACCGTGTAGTGGCGGTTAAGAATATCCACTACCCCATATCTTCCCGTGGGTGTCGTAAGAGGCGACAGAGGGAGACAGGCAGGAGATGGGCAGCAGCGTCTTCCTGATGAAAACTGTGACGTAATAAAAAACTGCGGTTGCCAACCCGCTCGCCAAGCGTGGCAACTATGGCAAATACCCCCCAATGAATAAATACACAAACAGACGGCCCCCAGTCCCCGGCGGCCCCGCTATTCCTGGCTACGGTGGCGACCATGGTAACGGCGGGGCAGGGGGTGCTAAGAATCTCCGGTGGAGGTTCGGTTGCCACCTACGACGACTCGACCTGGCAACATATAACGCACGCACACTGAGGACTGACGAGAAGATACTGGAGCTGGAAGAAGAGGTAGACAAGTTGCGCTGGCATATTATTGGATTATCCGAGGTCCGAAGAGAGGGGGAGGACACGGAAATCCTCGAGTCCGGCAACTTGTTCTATCACCGGGAGGGCGACCATCTGTCCCAAGGAGGTGTCGGATTTATCGTCCACAAATCTCTCGTCAACAACGTTGTAAAGATTGGGAGTGTGTCGACGAGGGTCGCGTACCTGATACTCAGAATCACCAAACGGTATTCGCTGAAGGTCATTCAGGTTTACGCACCAACCTCGGCACATCCCGATGAAGGAGGTGGAGGAAATGTATGAGGATATTTCCAGAGCCATACATTCCTCCAAAACCTACTACACGGTGTTGATGGGAGACTTCAACGCAAAACTGGGCACAAGAGAAAGCGGTGAGCTGAAGGTAGGGAAATTTGGAGTAGGGCAACGGAATCGAAGGGGCCAGCAGCTGGCCGACTTTATGGAGAAAGAGGGACTCTTTATGATGAACTCTTTCTTCCAGAAGCGGCCCCACAGGAAGTGGACCTGGTCGAGCCCCGACGGTTCGACAAAAAATGAGATTGACTTCATTATGACGACCAGACGCCAACTGTTCAGTGATGTCTCAGTGATCGCAAGGGTGAAAACTGGCAGCGATCACCGAATGGTTAGAGGCACACTGAACCTAAACGTTAAGTTGGAGAGGTCTCGTCTAATGAAGTCAACGCTCCGTCCCCCCTCGTGCTCTAATCCAGAATCCCGAAACCTTTCAGCTCGAGTTACGTAACCGCTTCCAGTGCCTAGAAGATTGCAATGCAGTGGACGATATGAACGACAAGCTCGTGGAAACTGTCCATGCGGTCGGAGCTAAGTTCTGCAAGACCCGCCGCAGAAGAACACAAAAACTCTCCGATCACACTCTTAATCTCATGGCTGTTAGACGGGAGATGAGGCTGCAATCGTCAACAGATTTGACAGCATACAGGCAACTGAACAGACGGATCTCCAAATGCATACGGCGAGACTTACGCAACTTTAATACTTCTCGTATTAAAGAAGCGATCGAGCGGAACCAGGGCTCCAAAGTCTTTGCCAGAGATCTGTCTGCCAGAAAGAGCCAACTGTCAAGGCTGAAGACTGAGTGTGGCAACATCGTTTCCGGGACACCTGAGATTTTGAGTGAGATTGAGAGGTTCTATGGGCAGCTGTACACATCATCGTTGGAGCCACACGCAAGTGTGAGTAACGATCCAAGAGCAAGTCTTATCCGACACTATTCCGATGATATCCCGGACGTCAGTCTAAGCGAGATTAGAATGGCTCTCCAGCACCTTAAAAACGGCAGGGCCCCAGGCGAGGATGGAATTACAGCGGAGCTTCTGAAAGCGGGTGGAACACCGGTACTTGAAGTCCTTCAGAAGCTCTTCAATTCCGTCCTCCATGGTGGCACTACTCCAGAGGCGTGGAGCAGAAGTGCGGTGGTCTTGTTCTTTAAGAAAGGCGACAACGCTCTCTTAAAGAACTACAGACCGATTTCCCTTCTGAGCCGCGTCTACGTGCTGTTTTCGAGAGTCATTACGAATCGTCTCGCACGCAGACTTGACGACTTCCAGCCTCCCGAACAAGCCGGTTTCCGAAAAGGCTTCAGTACCATAGACCACATACATACCCTGCGGCAGATTGTACAGAAGACTGAAGAGTACAATCTGCCACTTTGCCTGGCGTATGTGGACTATGAGAAAGCCTTTGATTCCGTCGAAATTTGGGCGGTGCTACAGTCCCTTCAGCGGTGCCAAGTTGACTGTCGGTATATCGAAGTGCTGAAGTGTTTGTACAGTAGGGCTACGATGGCTATCCGAGTACAGAACCAGAGCTCGAAACCTATCCAACTGCAGAGAGGTGTAAGACAGGGTGACGTTATATCCCCGAAACTCTTCACCGCTGCATTGGAAGACGTTTTCAAGCTACTGGACTGGAAAGGATACGGTATTGACATCAATGGCGAGTACATCACTCACCTTCGATTTGCCGACGATATAGTCCTTATGGCAGAATCGCTGGAGGACTTAAGCACTATGCTCAATGACCTCAATAGTGCCTCCCAACGGATAGGTCTTAAGATGAACATGGACAAAACAAAGATCATGTTCAATGTCCATGTCACACCTATGCCGGTAGTTGTTGGGAGCACTATGCTCGAAGTTGTTGACGAATACGTTTACCTGGGACAAATAGTCCGACTAGGTAAGTCCAACTTCGACCGAGAGGTCAATCGACGGATTCAACTCGGCTGGGCAGCGTTCGGGAAATTACGGCATATCTTTTCGTCAGGTATACCTCAATCTCTAAAAACTAGATTGTACAACCAGTGCGTGTTGCCAGTGATGACTTACGGATCTGAGACGTGGTCCTTCACTGCTGGCCGTATGAGGACGCTTAAGGTCGCTCAGCGAGCTATGGAGAGGGCTATGCTCGGAGTTTCTCTGCGTGATAGACTCAGAAATGAGGATATCCGCAGTAAAACCAGAGTAACCGACATAGCCCAACGGATTAGTAAGCTGAAGTGGCAATGGGCCGGCCATATAGCTCGAGGAACCGATAACCGATGGGGAAGAAAGGTTCTCGAGTGGCAGCCTCGTACCGGTAGGCGTAGTGTAGGGCGACCCCCCACTAGATGGAGTGACGACCTGGTAAGACATGCAGGAAGTCGATGGATGCAGGTGGCTCAGGACCGTGCTTTGTGGCATTACTTGGGGGAGGCCTATGTTCAGCAGTAGACTTGTGAAAGGCTGTAATGATGATGATGATGATGATGACTGTATGTCTGACTTGATAAACGTTTTTTAACGGGCTAGGTCTAAAAAAGTTTATAAACGTGAAGGTAAGAAAGTTACAAAGAACGCTTACCATGTTAAAGAACTCAAATACCATGAATTTAAAGATTTAAAGGTATTGGCGGAGACGGTAATAATAAATAGAAATAGAAACACAGAAGGCGAAAAAGTGAACTGGCTGAAGATTAAACGTATGAAGTATATGAAAGGAGACAATAGGATTTACTATAATTATGACATGTCTAATGAGTTTATGATATTGGATGTTACTACATCCATGAAAACCAACTTGCAAATTACGACGACCCCTTTACCTTATGCAAACCATGGTTATGCAACCAGAAACAAGGGTAAGCAACAAGAAGTAGTTGATGAAATATCTATGCAGCCATCCAGTTCAGGAGCTATCTTTCCACCCTTACAGCAGCTATACAGTGGACGTCTCCCTATATCCATAGCTAAGAAGAAGGATCTATATTAATCTTTGCAACAAAGATGTAATAACGGAAGAGTATCATGGGTGGTTCCAGTCTCTGGCTACTGAAGCTAGCAGTGTTGATCGATTGCCAGCTGCGACTCTCTCTGACAGTGATGACACATGTTCTCTGTCAAGCTTAGAAGACTAAACGTTGTTTTTTTTTATATCAAATAAAGATTTTGTCAAAGTATTTATATTTACATAGTAAAAAACAAAGTCGCTTCCTGCCCTCTGTCCCTCTGTATATATGTATGCTTATGTCTTTTAAAGTACGGAATGGATTTTAATGCAGTTTTCATCAATAAATGATGAACTTAATAGGAAGGTTTATATGTATAATATTTCCCGAAGTTATTACGGGAATCGGACATACGCGGGTGAAGTCGCGGGGCAACGCTAAACGCTTTAACAGCTGGACCGATTTTAACGGGACTTTCACTGGAAGATAGCGGAGGTTATAAGAAATAACTAAGGTTATTTAAAGTTTTTTCATTTCCCACGGGAACAGAAACTACGCGGGTAAAACCGCTAAGCGCGGTAGTTAGTACATACAAAATAAAATAAAATCTACTTTACCTTCAGCCAAAAGTGACTAAAGACATTTATTTTACATTTATACTGGCCATAGATGAACTTAAAGGATTTCTATCCTGATAATTATTACTATTTAAAGCAAGTGATTAAGAAAAAAATGCCAATAGCACTACCAGAAGGGTAATTTTTGAAATTTGGTAGTTTTTCTACATTCAGCAAAAAGCAACTAAATGAGCTCTTTAACGGTTAATTTCTTCTTTTTGTTGAAAATCTAGTAAGTTTTCTTCATTATTAACCTACTTAACATTACTTGAATAGTTTCTTGTTTATAAAACTGACGAGTGTTTAAAAATTGACATCACTATAATTGATTTTGGTGCCGTTAAAGTTTCAAGTGGTTATATCTCAAAAACATTTCGCTCAAATTTTAGTGCAGATAATCGGTTTTTACAATAAGGGTACGATATAGAAGTATGACTAGAAAATACATTCTGTTAACACACTTCATTCCATGTGTATCAAAGAAGGCAATTCTGACCAATGTCCATATAAGTAACCATAACATTCTCATTTTAGCAAAGGGGAGCAGTATCAAAGATGTAAAAATTGCAATTAAAGCAAATCTTCCCTACTAAGGGAGAGTCCACAGCTGGGCTTTGGGCTATATTATTAGATGGTAAAGAATTAAAGCAGAAAGAATATGTGAAATCATATTATAAAATAACACTACCTCTTTATCATTATAGTGTATATCATGGCTATGTGTGGATTTAAATTTATATTTATTGCTGTCTAGTTCCATAATCCACTGCTTCACTGAACCATCTGTGCTGCCAGATAACACCGCTTTTTTCTCAGGCCATTCCGGAGAAATGTCGACACTGACAATTCTGTAAAAATAAGTGCAATGAAGGTACTAGTAAAAAAATAAATTTAAATAATACAATATATGGTACTATTTACTTTTCTCCGTGAGCCTTAGTTAATACATGAGCTCGATAGCCATCTCCCTGGATAATACCATTTACATTTTGCGGTAAAGGTTCCAATATGCAAAGACTTTTGCTAGTACCGCCATAAACCAACCAACCATCGCCGCTAACACTCAAACCAGAAGTATGAAACCAATTAGGTGATGGCAATAATAGTGTTTCTTCCATTTTAACAGGTGTTAACAAATTCTGCATTAATTTTTAATAACCGTACGACTACAACAACAAGACGAACAACAAAATTCAATTTTAAACTGTAGCACAGATAAATATATATGCAAAACCATGAAGGACCTTCATGTGCAAAACTTTTTTTTTTTTGGTGTTTATGGCCTGGTATCTAGACCTTTAGGCCAATATGTGCAAAACTGTGGTGCACACAGTGTTGCCATCGTAAAATTCTAGTTGCCGTAGGTTACAGTCTGTTTTGTCGTATTTTAAGGAAAAAATACTAAATTGCCGTATTTTAATTGTTTTTTAAATAACTGTCTATTTCTCTCTCATTTCTTCCCCGTAACGGTTTCTTATCGTTTCTATCACTTCGGATCCATGTTTATTGAGTAAGTATTTGTCATTGCTTCCCAATTATTTTACAAACTTTTTGCTGTAGAAATTTCCTAATAAATAATCTAATAGGAATCACTCACATGACGTATACCACCCTTCACGCGTTTTAATATATACAATACGAACAATGTATACTGAAAAAAAAATATTCGCGAAATGTTTACTTAAGCAATTCAAAAATGCGATAAATACCTAATAAATATTTGTATGTGTGATAATTGGGATATCTATCTATTGCATTAAAAATAATAAAATATAATCAATTACTAATTTCATAGTGGGCTCCATGGATTAATAAAAAAACAATTATTTTATGAACTTTATTCACTTTGAACAGGTTACAATATTAATGCTTAAACCACAAACTAACAAAAAATACCAGCTCAGTTTAAGCTATTAATACTAATAATGAATTGTTTATATTCGTTGATGAAAAATAATATAACGAATATATTCGTTATATTATTTTTCATATATACAGAACATTAAAATATGTTTTCATTTTTCTATTTCACCATTACGCTACTATTCTTTATTCGTTTGCGTTTATAAAATCCTAACGTGAAACAAAAACAAACACGACGCAGGAAGTGTAAACCCTGAACTTGAGTGCTGGGCGAACCTGTTTGAACCGGGTGTGCTCTGTAAGTGACTACGTAACGAGCTGACGACGCCTTCAGTATGCCGTATTTTCTGAAAAAAAAATTCGTGGATTGTCGTATAATACGGTAATTGCCGTATAATACGGTAATTGCCGTATAATACGGTAATTGCCGTATATTACGGTAATGGCAATGCCGAGTATACAGAGTACAGACTAACCACGACATAACCGTAGACAGAGAAAACTACTGTCTACGCCCTTGAGCATAGAAAATAGAGGAGATGGCATGCCTTCAAGAAAATCGTGTCAAATTGAAATAATAAATGGCGGACGCTGTAAGCTCCGCCTATTTTTTTAGTGATATGAAGACAATCAACTTTTAATACCTTTATGTATTTTTATTTATTTATAATATGCAAAATTATATTTTCTCTAACGATTAGCGAGGCAAGTGGATTTTGGCGAGAATTCAACCGCCAGCGGATTGCTGATCCTGTTTTATCGGTTAAATAATAATTCGAAAATGTTTTTATACGTAACGCATGAATAGCAACTTGTGCCTGTAAGGTTGGATATAGTGGAGAGAAAAACAAAACAAATTTTATTTATTTTTTTTTTTTTTTTTTTTTTTTTTTTTTTTTTCTTTTTTTTATATGGAATAAATTTTAAAAAGCCATCAAACATTTATTTTTTAAAAAAAAATTAAAGGTGTTTTTTTTTTTTTTTTTTTTCTTTTCTTTAGCATAGTTACTCTGGCTTCATATTATACAGAATTAGCTTTATTTCTGGGCTAGTAAGTAGCTGTCTAAACCAAGGATGGGGCTCTATTTCTGAGCTAGTAACACCCTTCACAGTAGTTTTTACTATTCTTGCTTGTGTACTAGCTTCGTGTAACCGATTAAGCTAGTATATTTTTGAACTGAAAACTACTTTAGGATTGCTGTAATTTGAATATATATTTTACAACGCACTTGTGGTTGAAAATTATGATATTAAATAAATAATTTGCAGTGAAATATTTTTATTTTATATCCACACCGGGACACACCCTTAGCATGGGTGATTCCAGGATTATGGCAGCAAAATCAAACGAATTTTTAAATTGAAATCGATCTAGCCATCCTCGAGTGATGAACGGCTAGTTGGCAGCATCTGATTTATCAATAGTATTAATTTCATTCGAAAGTTTTACTTCTACCGCATGTGAACTCTTTTTTTTTTAGTTATGGTACTCCATGCTGGTGGCTGAACGGTTAACGTATAGTGAGCACCAACTAATAAGAGTACTAACATAGTAGCGAGAATGCGTTTTTCTTCTTCATAATACTCATTGACACTACCTAACACTAATTGTGTTTTTTAACAAGATAACAGAATATAAAACTTTGTTGTTGTAGAAGAATGCTTGTAGTTGGCCGCCTAGATGTTCCATTACGAAGTTCTTCTAGAAGCAATGCAGATAATCCACATTCCTTTCTTTTTAAAGTCCATGGTTTAGTCTAAGTACGATTTATTTCGTTTTTTCTAACAAAACTTTTATTAATTGATCAACTTGATATTGGTATAATAAAAAAACTATGGTAAGTTTCCTAAGTACCTGTTTATTTTTATTTTAGGAATTATTTTGTTTATTTTTATTATAGAAAGGATTTTGTTTTAGGAGTACTATTCGTTTTTTTTCTCACGTATTAAACGTATGTTGTCCTAGTGACTGTGTCAATACTGCCTTTGAATTTTCTTGTCAAAGTCCATCCAGTCGAAATGCGAATCGACCCACCTGAAGACTAAGATAGCATGCCTCTTTACCAGTAAAAAGGATCTCTGTTATTTACACTAAACATATGTAACATAGAAGCATTATTCTGGTGTATCGTGAGTGTATTATCTAGGAACGTGCACTCACCACTGCCAAACTGACCCACTCGTGCTGTACGCCGTTCGGCAGTCGGTTGATGAATAATAAATAACACGCAAGTAGACGTTTTTAGCACTTTGTTATGAGTTTATTTCAAATTCATTAGATATCCAGCAGTGCACTGCAAAAAAAAAAAACAACACAAACGTTGTTGCAAAAACGACAGTTTTTAGCGAGCAGCAGAATCAATTTAGTTAATTTAGCCAGTTTTATATGGGATTCGTTAAGTTTTTTCGTTAAATGTGAGCCGTGGTGTTTCAGGGCCTTAGCGCTCGCTGTAAATTTCACAGTACGAGAGCAACCTAGGTTCGGTCCCCGCCGGCATCAATGAAATTGTAAATTACAATTATAAGTGCTGATTTTCTACGTGCTCGGCGGTGAGGAAGACACATCGTGAGGAAATCTACGTCTGAGATGCGAAATCCGCCAGCACGCAAGGACGTGTCCCCCGTGCTGCCCTAATGCAGCGCGACGGACACGTCCTTGCCCTAAAACCCTCTCAGAAGTGAGGGAGGCATGTGCCCAACTGTGGTACGTATATAATTTGTAATTTTAAAAACAGAAACAGAATCAAACTTTTTTATTCAGTATCCATATCTATACTTTTTAATATTATAAATGCGAAAGTGTGTTTGTTTGTTTGTATGTTTGTTTGTCCTTCTTTCACGTCGCAACAGAGCATCGGCATGGCATGATTATTTACGGGGATATTTCGGTGGCTGTAGAGTGACATAGGCTACTTTTTCCAGCGGAAAAACATATCATTCCCGTGGGAAAATCGAATATGTTGCAAAATTAAATTCAGCTAGGTGGCGCCACCGTGATTCTGCAAGACGGACGGTACGACGGACGAACAGAATCAAACTTTTCAAATATTACTAGTCCATTGGGTTGAATGGTCTAAGGTGCTAAAGCATAGCCCGCCCAGCCCTGAAAATTTATAGAATTTATAGCCGCGCTGCCGTCGGTAAGTAGTATCTGCGAAGTAATTTTTTACTTATTGACAAAAAGAAATTGAACTGAAAATTTATAATAATTAAAATTATAAAACATTATAATTTATTTATTAACAAATGATATTAATTTCGTTTTCTTTTTTCTTTAAATGATATTATAATTATTTCAAACTAGAACAGCCCACTTTTATTGAGACTTAACGATCGCAGTGCCTCACTTATTTTGTACATATGTCAGGGATACTATTTTCTACATTGATCGTTCTCCTGTTCTCTAACCTCCATGCCATGGAGTGCAGAGGTAAGGAGAACAAACTAAATAAGGGTGGCGCCACTGTAGTTGGAGTGTAAATTTTATTGAATTTTTATAATTTTTTGTTGCACAGACTTTCACCATAATTCATTTTATAATAATGATTTTATTTTTTGCAAATGTTTTATTTTCAAAATCACTCTTAACGTGTTTTACGGTGACTTTTTCTAGGTTATATTTACTAAAATATTTTAGACATTGTGGGTAGTTGAGATTTTAAATAATGCAGTTTAATCAACTACTTTAATCACCACACATATTAAATTCCTCAACTCAGCACATTTTATTCCGTCGACAACCACCAAGTTCATTACATACTCTAGCTACTCCAGCGCTATTGTGGAGAGTTTTTGAAATGTTATTTACGGCTTACAGATGGACACTTTTTCAACTATTATCCTATGGGAGTTGTTGTTTCTCCTTACTTCTACAATCCATACTCCTACTACATACTTATAACAGTGGTAGAGCCACGCGGCAGCTTTGCTGTTGCATGTATGGGCCGGCTCAAACCGGGGTGGTACCACGACCTCACAGAATACGCGCGTGAAGTGGAAGCTCTGCTTCCGCGTTTCGTCTCGTGAGTGCAGGTGGCTGGAGGCCCAAATCCTCCCCCCCTCCATCAACATGGTAGCGGAATTAAATAATGATAGACTACTCCAGGAGGGTACCAGCACCCCTGGAGAATCCCTCGCTGAGCATCCACGACCATGCTTCTCCACTTCTGAGCGTGGGTGCTGGTGGGGGGGGGGGCAAAATTCCACTCAAGACTACAACTACTCGGGGCAAACGGAGCAACAAGACTAAGGCGACCCCTGCCACGCTGTCCGTGAATTTCTGCAATATCAGGGGACTTCACTCTAACCAAATGCCGTCCACTACCATCTCGAGACGGCGAGGCCGGCTCTGCTCTTTCTGACCGAGACGCAGGTGTCCTCTCAGAGTGACGTTGCGGATGTCAGTGCTACTAGAAGTACGCAAAGCTTGTCGCGAAATAAAAATTAATATCTACGTCTAAAGTTATGATATCGATGTTTTGAAACATTTTTTCTGGTAATGATTTCTTAAATTTACACGAACACTACACATTGAATAAAACTAAATTTACGGATTTTATCGCGTTTATTTAACTACTTTTACTTATTTTTAATTCCCGACGTTTCGGGTGCTTTACAGCAACCAAAAAAAAATAAAGAATATTAATTTTTGGTCCGATTTACGCAAAACGAGCTTATAGTATCATGAAGTCTTGCAGTGGTATGCTTAGGTTTGGGTTTAATTTTGTTAATTATAGGATCCCAAGCAGGTGGCAGCACCCATCCATCTTCTCTATTGAAATTTGGATGTTTTTTAATTTCAATAGCCTCACGTATCATCCTTGGTAGGAATCGGTGTTCTTTTGCGAGAATTTGTGGTTTATCAAAACGAATGTAATGGTGGGGACGATCTTGAACATGTTCGCAGACTGCAGACTTCCCTGAGCGTCGGTGCTTCACGTCAGCTATATGTTCTTTCACGCGGGTTTTTATGGATCTTTTCGTTTGACCTATGTAAGAGAGACCACATTCACAATCTAGCTTGTACACTCCTGCATCTTGTAGAGGGATATTACACTTGATGGATGGTAAAAATTGACTAATCTTCTTCGGCGGCTTGTACGAGGGTGGATTGAAAAGTACTCGGCCTAACACAGATCCATTCAATTCTAAAAATCAAATCTACCCACATTATTTAGTTCAGTTCAGACTAGTTCATTGTGTGAATTTCGAAACGTGTGCGATAATTAGTTGTGATTTTATAAATTTATTAACAAAGTAATCGGACATAATTTTCGCGAATGGAGCAAATCGAGCAGCATGCCGTCATTAAGTACCTCCATAAGAAGGGGCTATCATCAAAAGCCATCCATGATGACATGGTCAGTACATTAGGCGATTGTGCTCTGTCATATTCATCCGTCAAAAAATGGATAGCAGAATTTAAGCGTGATAGAGAGAGTGTGAAAGATGAACCCCGCTCTGGAAGGCCTTCGACGTCAACTACTGACGAAAATATTAAAAAAAGTACTTGATTTAATAATGGGAGACCGCAGATTAAAAATTAGAGAGATAGCCGAGATTATAGGCATCTCTTATGAATGAACTCAAAACATCATTGTCAACGAGTTGGGTTGGTGGTAGGTGTCTGCGAGGTGGGTTCCGCGACTGCTTTCAGTTGAACAAAAAAGGACGCGATTGACTATTTCACGCGATTGTTTGGAGTTATTTGAAGCCGATGCAGATGATTTTTTGAATCGTTTTGTTACTATGGACGAAACATGGGTTCATTACTGTACACCGGAAACAAAACAACAATCAAAACAGTGGAGAAGACCTGGTTCACCACCCCTAAAAAAGGCTAAGTCGATTTTGTCGGCAAATAAGGTGATGGCTTCAGTATTCTGGGACTCGAAAGGTGTGATTATGATTGATTATCTTGAAAGGGGTCAGACTATAAACTCTGATTACTACTGCACCTTACTACGTCGTTTACGAGAGGAAATAAAAGAAAAACGTCGAGGAATGCTCAGAAGAAAAGTCCTGTTTCATCAAGATAACGCCCGTGTTCACACGTCAGTACAGTCAATGGCTGAAATTCACAACTGTGGCTTTGAACTGTTACCGCATCCGCCGTATTCACCTGATCTGGCACCATCAGACTTCTTTCTGTTCCCTAACCTAAAAAAGCACTTGGGAGGTCAAAGATTTTCGACAAACGACGAGGTCAAAGCAGCTGTAGACGCATATTTTGACTCTAAGGAAGAATCATTTTTTTTCAACGGTCTAAATGCTTGGAAGGGGAGGTGGCAAAAGTGTATTGAACTTGATGGTGATTATGTAGAAAAATAAAAGTATAACTGATTTAGTATGTGTTTATTTTCTTGGTTAGGCCGAGTACTTTTCAATCCACCCTCGTAGTATGTTTTAATAGAAGCTCACTTCAAGATGTAGCCAACCTTGTCTGTGACTCCTCTGACATATGGTAGTACAGCAGGTACACGCTCGACTGTGGCTGGCTTCATTCGGTCACTGTGACGTAGGCGCGGGACCCGAAGCTTGTTGTCTTGCAATACTTGCTTGACATGCTGAAGTTCGGCGGCCAGATGTTTTCTGTCACAGATCCCTCGTGCTCTCTGAAACAAAGATTTACCCACGGTAGCTAACTGTGAAGGATGATGGTGAGATTCACCATTTAAATATCGGTTGGTATGGGTCTTTTTTCTATACACAGTGTGACCAATTGTGTTATTAGGATTTCGAATGACTAAAACATCTAAGAAAGCTAAAGAATTATTTGCCTCTAACTCCATTGTGAATTGTATTTTAGAGTTTATAGAGTTAAGATGGTCTAAAAATGCAGTTACTTTATCTAAAGGTAGAATTGTGAAAGTGTCGTCTACGTACCGCTTGTAGAACCTTGGATTTACAGGAGCAGTAAGAAGGGCTTTCTCCTCAAAGTCCTCCATGAATATGTCGGCGACTATGGGAGATACAGGTGAGCCCATCGCCACACCATCTACTTGCTTGTAGAACTTCTCCTTCCACAATAGATAGCCAGATGTGAGGCAGTGTTTGAGTAATACTGCATATTCAGCAGGCATGTTATTATATTCTAGCTTCCTAGTTACAATTGATATGCAGTCTTCAATAGGTAGGCATGTGAATAGTGACTGAACATCAAAACTGACCATAGTTTCATTGTCAGCGAGATGTAGGTCTTTTATCTCACTAACAAAATGGTATGAATCCTTTGTGTGTGCTCTGGTATGTCCTCTCAGTGGTGACAGTACTTTTGCCAAGTGTTGTGCCAGCTTATAAGTTGGTGAATCAATCTGGCTCACTATAGGACGTAGTGGAGCGTTTGGTTTGTGTATCTTTGGTAACCCATACAACCTCGGTGGTTTGGTACTTGATGGTATTAGCGAATTCACGTCGAGATTTAATTTTTCGGAGTGTTTCTTTATTAAATCGCTAGTTGCTTTAAGCGTGTTAGTTGTGGGGTCTGTTTTGACCTTTTTGTATGTACTTTCGTCCGATAAAAGGTGTAGCATTTTAAAATTATACTCTGACGTGTCCATTATTACCGTAGCATTTCGTTTATCCGCGCGGAGAATCGTTAGATCTGGTCTGTTCCGTAAACGTCGGGAATTAAAAATAAGTAAAAGTAGTTAAATAAACGCGATAAAATCCGTAAATTTAGTTTTATTCAATTTTTTCTGGTATTTAAAAACTGGTGCATATGTTAATAAATTAATCATTTGTGTGTGCTTAAGGATTGTGGTGAAAGAAAATTGAAATAAAACATCTAAAAGTGAAATATAAGAGGTACCTTTATTAATAACTTTAATGTACATCGTCTATTTACCCTCGAACTACAAAGTGTCAATTACAATATATAGTCGGCGACACCTAGTGATAATCATCTGCATCATTACATTGCAATTAACTTAAACTAACGCGATGAAGTGCAGTGCGTGCGGAAAATTTATGACGGCGGTAGAGGGCGTTACGTGTCCTAAATGCGATAGAAAATCATACAGGGCCTGCGTCAAAGTTCCTGAAGGTGTGCGGGTCCAACCTACTTGGTTGTGTCCGGACTGTAAAATACGGACGGCCCGAAAGTCAGATCGGAATACGCCTGTGCGAGGACTTAATTCCGAGAATATTATCAAGCAAGGCGAAGAGAAACCCCAAAGCACTGTGGCGCAAGGTTTCAAAGAGTCGGAACTAGCTCTTTAACTACGTAAATTTAGAGATGAACTGCGAGAAACCAGGGAAGAATTTAGATCTTTCCGACAGGAGATGTTTGATTTGCGTAATTCCATAAAATCGTGTGAAGAACGCCTAGATACATTAGAAAACAAATACATCCGTCTTGAAGAACAACAAACCCTAATTGAGTCCAAAAATGTCTGCGGCAAAATTCAGGATCTCGAAACGATTATTGCGGACTTAAAAGCAGATTTAAATGATCGAGACCAAGAGCTGCTGTACAATGATATGTAAGTTGTAGGCATTCCAGAAGAGGGCGCAGAAAATGTTCTACACATTGTGACTGCGTGCGCTACTAAACTGGGTGTAACCCTAGAAGAGCGCGATATAGTGAGTTGTGTGCGAGTCGGTCTTATGCGCGACGAGCAAAGTAGTAGTCGTCTCATAGTCTCATAGTCGTGCGGCTGGCGCGCAGGCACACGCGGGACACTCTGCTGCGGGCCGCGCGCGTGCGCCGCTCCTTAACTACCGAAGGTCTAGGTCTCCGCTCCGAAAATACACGAGCCTTCTATATAAACGAACGGCTTACTAAATTGAACCGCAATGTATTTTTTAGAACTAAGGAATTCGCTCGGCGATTTGATTGGCGCTACGTATGGTCAAAAGAGGGAAAAATTTATACTCGTCGAGAACACGGAACAACGTCTTATCACATTAAAAATGGGGAAGTAGATCTCGAGAGGATTTTTGGAACAAATTCAGTTGGGGCTATCGGAAGCAATGGAAAAAAAATATAAAAGCTATAATTATCTGAATTTTTTTTAAAAATATTACCTTGTTCTGCTATTGTTCATTTTTATGTAAGTCGTTAATAATTGTGTTTGTATTTTTATTTAAGAACTATTTTTGGATTCTATTTCGCTCAAATGAAATATACTATGCCTATACTCGTATGTGGAATAATAATATATCCTGGTTAGTTCTGGCACAAATTTCTAACATTAATGTATTGAAAAGACTCACTAGCGTTTTGTCTTTAAGTTCTGCAATACATACATACAATAATTACTATACGAGTACATTAAGGTACAAGAAAATTTACTCAATGGATAACTATTTAAAAATTTGTGACATCCCCATAAATATTATTTATTCTATCAAATCACATAAAATTAATTTTGTCTGTACAAGAAGCAAGCTAAAGTTAAATTTTGCGTCGGAACCTATTATGTCAAATAAATATGTATATCTAAAATTCGTTTATGGCTTCTAAAAGTAACGTAAAAGTTGGTCTTTTAAATGCAGGGTCCCTTAGAACGCGGCACGATGAATTTATTGTCGCAATGCAACGGCAGTGTCGATATCATGGCCATCAATGAGACGTGGCTGCGGGAGGGCGAAGAGGGCCGCGCGGCCGCGGTGCCCGGCTACCGGCTGCGGCACGCGCCGCGTCCGCCAGACGTGCACTCGCGCGGCGGTGGCGTCGGCTTCTATGTGAAGCGAGGCGTCGGCGTTCGCGAGCTGCCCCACCCCCGGCCCCGCTAGTAGAACAAATGTGGATCTCGACCTCTAGCGGCGGAAAGCAGCTCGTTATCGGTACCGCGTATAGACCGCCGTGGCTGAATGTCGATACATTTATAGACGCGCTTACCATTACTATGGGGACTTTCTCATGGAGCCAAAACTTACTTCTTCTCGGTGATTTTAATATTAATATGTTAAATATGACGCATAATACCACTATAAAGCTAAATATTTTTCTTACTTGCTTCAAATTAAAACAGCATGTAACTAAGGAAACCCACTTTACGGAATATAGCGAGACTTTAATTGACGTAAAAAGTACCGACATAAATGTAAACGCAGTTACTGTAGAACTTATAAGTGAATTAAGAAGTCATGCTTTTATTACATGTCAAATTGATATGAGTAAAAAAAAAGCCGGCACCAGTAACAATAATGAGTAGGAGAATTTCTGACATAGACGAGGGAGACTTTCATAAGGACCTTACATCAATAAATTGGAAAGAAATTGAGAGTATCGCGGATGTAAATAACCAGGTAGTGCTATTTAACACAGCCATAGTCACTAAAATTCAGCTTAAAAAGTTTAAAATCTAAAGCCATAGGCATTGATGGGATTTCTCTCGATATGATCCGTATGACCCTTCCAAAAATACTACCAACTATTACTGCTATGGTGAACAAATCCATTAACTCTAAAACCTGTCCGACATTATGGCAACATGCGTTAGTCAAACCCATACCTAAGAACTCAAATCCATTGTCTGAAAAAGACCTTCGGCCCATCGGTATTCTCCCCTGTGTCTCTAAAATTATTAAAAAAAATTGTCGCAGAACAGCTAAACATGTGTTTAGATAGAAAAAAAAATTCTACCGGAAATGCAGTCGGGATTTCGTAAGAACCATAGCACCACGACGGCCCTAGCCCAACTTACTGACGATGTACTAACCGCTCAAGATGAAGGAAAAGGCACAATACTAGTATTACTAGATTTTTGATTGATGACTTGAGATTTGATTTTTGTATAAATGTTTCCCTTCTCTTATCAAAGCTTCATTACTATGGATTCAGGAGCAGCGCAGTACAATGGTTCGATAGTTATTTTAAAAACCGACTACAAACTGTAGAACTGAGCGATGACCGAGGAACATTAATACGTTGGCAATCAAAAAAAAAATCAAAGCCGGTGCGCCCCAGGGATTGAACCTGGCTCCAATATTGTTTTTAGTTTACATTGCCGACTTAGTAAAAAACATTAAGCACTGTAAATTTCATTTATACGCAGATGATTTGCAAGTCTACATGTCATGTAATCCGCGTGATACTCAAGAAGTCGTTAATAAAATCAACGAAGACCTCGAAAGTATAGCCGCGTGGTGCGACTCAAACTGCCTTGTACTAAATGGAACTAAATCTAAACTACTAATTATGGTTTCTAAAAATCAAATAAAAAATTTATCAGAAAGAGGGGCATGCATCCAAATTCGAGGGGAAATCGTAGAACGTGTAAATGAGATTCGCAATCTGGGCTTACTAATGGATGACAAACTACAGTTTGAGAACCACATACTAAGTACTAGCAGAAACTGCTTTTATAGACTTAAGGTTCTTTATCAAATAAGGGAGTTTTTAAATTCGGATATTCGGGTAAAATTGTGTGACACACTTGTCCTTTCGAAATTTAATTATATGGACATTGTATATGGCCCGAGACTTTTAGCGCGGTCGCGACGTGTAGTGCAACATGTACAAAATGCATGTGCAAGATTTAGTTTTACAATACCGCCCCGCGCGCACGTCACCCCTTACATTAACAATGCTAAAATGTTAAAAATGGAATATCGCCGAAAACTGCACATGGCAACTCTCCTATTTGGGGTATTAAAAAATAAAACACCTCGTAATCTTGCTGACAAACTCATATGGTCACGTGATGTAAAAACTTACAATACGCGCACTAGAGGGAATACTCTCGTCGTGCCTCGTCACCGCACTCACGCTTTCCGAGGAAGTTTCAAATACGCCGCATCCAAGTGCTGGAACGATATACCGCCTCCTTTGCGAAATCTGAAAGCAGTACACACATTTAAAAATAAATATAGAACACAATTACTGCAAAGTCAGATTAACTTTGATCAAAGTTTATAACGCTTTGCACGATTACGTACCTCATCGTCATAGATTATAACAACGGAGCATTAAAATCGTCCTCTTGAGTGCGGCTTTTGTCTTCTTATATACTTTTATATTCTTCAATAACTATATAGTGTAGTATATAGCCCTTTATAGTATTTTAATAATCTCCCCTTTTGTAGTGTTCGTATAGACCTTCTAAGAGCATCTGAAATCAACATAAACGGGACGTGCTGTGTCGAAGTGGCATTAGACCTTGAACGCTACTCTCTCCCTCTCACTTAAAATAGTTACTGTCTCTTTCCCCTTGTTGTGCATAATTCTGTCATCATAATTTTGTTTAAAACATAATAAAATGAGTATACATATAGCACTGATTTCGGTAGGTCACTGGTTGGACTCACTGAAAATCAGCGCCATGGAGAAAAAATCATGGCATTATGCTGAGTGTGCTCCTGTTCCCAGATGACGCCTTGACACATACGAGTATAGGTATTGTATAGTTTGTAATATGTAGTATATTGTAATTTGTATTGTATAGCCAATATTATTTGTAAATTATGTGTTTTTTTATTTTTTTATTTTTTATGTTATCTGTGATGGCGTCATTTTGGAGAATAAACCTTTCTTTCTTTCTTTCTTTCTCTCCGGCTGATGTCTCGTATCTCTCCTACCCGGGGTACAAACTGGAACACTCCTTTCTGCCTTGGGCTGGAGTTTGCGTTTACGTCAGAGAGGACATCTGTTCACGACGCCTCGGCAGAATTGAAGGTTCGGACCTGTCCATCCTTTGGCTACGCGCAGACAGCGACGACCATCCGCGCGTCTACGGGTGCCTCTAAAGGTCCCATAGCGGTAATGCCGAAACAGACCGACTCTTCGACTACGTCCAAATGGCTACAGATTCGTTGCTACAGCAGATCCCCTCCGCAGAGATCGTGATCCTCGGCGACTTTAACGCCCATCACGCCGAATGGCTTGATTCACGTTTAACCGATCATGCGGGGTGATCTGTTCATGATTTTGCCTTGGCATATGGTCTGACACAACTGGTTACTTCGCCTATTCCATTCGCGGATTCCAGATGTGGAGGATCATGCACCTTCCCTGTTGGACCTTCTGCTGACCTCTCACCCGGACGGATATCAGATTTCCGTCGAAGCCCATTTAGGCTCCTCGGACCATTGTCTTGTCCGGAGTGTGGTGCCACTCACGCTGAAATCGCAGTTGCATTCTGCAGGCTGCCGCCGTGTTTGGCACTATAGGTCAGCTGATTGGGATGGGATGCGGTCTTTCTTTGCATCCTACCCTTGGGGGCGGGTTTGCTTCTCGCCGGACGATCCCAACGTTGTTGCGGATTCTGTCGCTG